TCCCTTGTTATTTCTATTAATGTAATAAGATAAAATTACAAAGTAGGTTTTAAAAAGATTTTCAATAATATTTATTCACGTCAACACAGTTGTACTTTCCTGGTCCACTGGATGAGTGCATTGATAAAAGATTAAAGTTTTTATTAATATCTAACTCTAACTTGGACAAAACAACCTTCAACTAGAACGAGTCAGACATTTAGCTCTAAAGACCAGTGACACATCTGAGCCCTCAGACACCAACAACAGCTTGGATCGAAGACTAACTGAATATAGCACAGAGCTCTGCTTGTTTGTGGGGCTGCACACAGCCATCAATGTCAAACTCAGGTCCCATTTTTGAAACATGAACAATATTTTTGAAGACTTAACACGTGTTTATATTTATCATCAAATATTTCATGATTACAAGAAGTACTGAGTTTGTGCAAAAGAAAAAAATGACAAAATTGTGTTTGTGTCATGATTATTTTTATGCTTTTGTATAAAATGCTTGCGACATGGGAGAAGACTAGTAAAAAAAACCACTGTGATTATATTGTGTCTATGATGAAACAGTTTTAACACTGAATCTTGGATAAACAACCTTCTCTTGGACAACGTGAATTCATTTTACACAATTCTTTGGTTCAGGCTTTTATGCACCATTTTAAATGGAGATTTTCAATTATACTTAATATTCAGGTGTAACCATTGACAACCATTGGGAAGAAATAGTCTGTCTCTGCCTCACTGTTTTCAGACGTCTATACTTATAAATATCTCTCTAGGGCTTGCGTTTAAACAGCACTGAACTACGCAGGAAGTTTCAGGTTTTAAGCATATGTTTAAACACCATGCTACAGAGTCAAGAAACCAAATCTCTCCTGAGCAGAGAGACTTTACATAGTCACACTGTGCTGATCATCTGTGCTTGTATCCCGCGTGGCTTTAACTCGTGCTTCAAGCCAAGCCAGACTGCAGCAGCGTTTGGCTCACAACCGTCATTCCCTGATCCAGCCCTAACTCCTGACTCATCCTGTTTGTGATTTCTTACATTTTTCCGTGTGGCTCACAGCAGAGTATGGGCCTAAACATGTTGTATTCTTTGTTTTTTTAATGTGCAGGTAAAGGGCAGTGACAAAATAAATAACATAATCAAATGAGCTGCTTACAAAATACCTAACTCTACATAGGAAAAGGTTTTCGATCAAACATTTGTGAATTTTTCTATTTTAGGTCAATCCTTGGGGGGGGGGGCAAATTATTGCGTAAATATAAATACATGTGGATGAATTATTGTTACTAGAAAGTATCCAAACAATGGTCCTTTCTTCAGTGTTTGCAGGAGATTAACACACATCTCTGAGCTCATAGTAAAAACAAAGACAGGATTTTCGTTTAGTGGTGTTTTTCCCCCCTCTAAACTCTGCTGAACTCTGGAAATCAAAACAGTGAATACCATGAAGCCCAGTGTGTAGGATTTTTACAGTACTTTATACTACTATATTCAGTACAAATAGTAAAATATGTGAAATCTGAAGATACTTTTTGAGGCAGATTGTAAAACAATAAACAAAAATGGATACACTGGCACAACCCTTAAAACAGGGGTGTCCAACCACTGGGTCAGGGAACTAGTACTGTGCCATGGATCATTTGGATCTATTATCTCAAAAGTTTTTTTTAGCATTTTAAAATAAAAACGCAAATTCGCTAATCTGCATGGTGTTTCATAACAAATCGTATATCATGTAACCTTAATCTTTAATCTAATCTAATCTTCACACTTATGTATCCATAGGGCTCTGTGGCGCAATGGATAGCGCATTGGACTTCTAAGGCAAGCAGAAGCAATTCAAAGGTTGTGGGTTCGAGTCCCACCAGAGTCGAGTATCTTGGTAAGCTCCCCAGTGTGGGAGTAGTATTTAAATCATAAATGATTCCTATTAGTGCGTCTTGCTTTATTTTTTGTGAGACAGCCAATCACACACACAGACACCATGGAAAAATTGTTCTGCTGTGTAAAAAAAGGGGGGGTTGGGAACCACTGCTTGAGACCAAACAGAGTGACGGTAGAATCCAGTCAAGCAAGATTTAACAATCAAATACAAATTGACACTAACAGAGTCCCAATTACTGATGAAGTGTGTTTGAATTGACCAGGTGTCACATTCTAGCTCGTCTCTGTTCAACAGCACATTGAGTTGCTGCTGTTTGAGTTGGAGCTAGTTTTATTTGTAGCAGTGACATTTATACCTAACAGGATGTGTGTGGATATTTTCATCATATTTATTCAGACGTGAAACACCACGATAAAGACAGACTGGCATCCAGAAAGACCTGGATACTACAAAGTAAAAAGGGAAGAAGTGGAAAATGTATTCATTAGCACTAATATTGCCACTTAATTAAAACAAAGCGCTACTAAAATATCAATATAATTTAAAATCCAGATGAAGACACTAATTGACCAGAAATTGAATATTTTTCACTAAATGGAGCTAGTGAGCAGCTACGGTAGCACTTCATGCTAATTCAGTCAATTCTGTTAATCAAATCAAATCAATATTCAAGTTATATCTACTGTAACATCAGGTAAGCACGTATACTACTTTATTTCCTGAGACTGTACTTGACATAGGAATGAATGTAATCATAAAGTGTTAGCTGAGCATACAAGAGGTCTATCGCTACGGTTGTGTTTTGTTTATGATGTCATAGATCAGTGATCACCAAGTGGTGGCTCACGGGCCAAATGACTGTCCAATCTGACTGGTTTAAAAAAAAATCAAATAATAATGTTAGACTTCATTTTTATTTAGAATAATTCTGACCTTGTGATATTTAGAGTTGGTGACCTCTGGTATAGGTCATTACACAAATGCATTACTTTTATCTTGTGTTTTCAACATCTTCCATCCACAGCAGCCAGACTGTAACAATAAAAAGTTTTTCTTTTCAAGATTAGCTCAGTGTCATTCACCACTATCACAGCAACAAACAACTTTAGAGACTCAATAAAATCAAAAAGCATCAGGGCCTTCAGACATACTTTTGTCTGTTGTTAAGAACACTTTACTGTGTTACTGTGTACGTTTATGTGTTCATATCTGACCATCCATGTACTCCCGCTGGACTGAAATGGCACAGTGAGTTCTGGGCATCGTAACCTCATTCCTTGTCAACTCCTAAGTAAACACATCTCCACATCCTACTTGGAATGTGCTGCCTGCCAGTAGAAACACTGGGGAATGTGTTACTGTTGTGTACTAAAAATCTGTCTCTTGTTCGAAACAAACTGGTAACAGAAGGGTTGGTGACCTGACGCATTCGAGATATTTCCCAAAGGAAAATGGAACTTTCCGGGAAGAGTGGAAAAAAGCTCATCACTGCATTAACAGTACATCTGTCTTATTCCACGTGAAAGACCGAATCTTTTCTAATTGCTTGTGTGTGTGTGTGTGAGAACAAGTAAGTGTCTTTCAATGTGAAGGTCCTGCAGCAGGACCTTGAGGCAGGAAACTGAAGAGGGAATCAATAACTGACAATGGGGGAGATATTAAAAGCCATTGTTTACTTTGGAATTGGAAAGAAAGGTTACGTTTTATTAGATATTTCACATATTTTTGTTTAAAATCAAACATAATTCCTATTACTTGCTCATTAGGTCAATTAAAACTAAACCTTTAACGGTACAGAAGTAGTGACAGGGTGCAGCACTAATGCAGGTTTGATGATTTGGAATAAAATCTGAGACTGTCCAAAAAAACCTTTTTGCAGGAAATGCACGTGTTGTGTTACTTGTTTTTCTGTATGCAATCTGTAACGTCCCCTCCCACGTGTTTACTGTACTTCCACACATGCAGATGAAACAGACCTTAAGGAGCAGTAACACCAAGCTAACTGTTCTGTAAATGTAGTATTTACCGAATAATTTAAATATTTTTTTAGTGTGACATATACAGCGAATACTCTTATGGCTGTTTTAGTCTGACTAGTGTGTTTATATAGCATTTTAAAAGTTTTTAAAAGGTTTTAGTTAAATCACAACAATCATTGGTTTAACATTAATAACACTTTTTTTTTACACGTTTTTGAGGTTGTTCTTAAAAAGGGAATGGATGCAACGCAGAGTGAGAGCAAGAAAACTACAACATGTTACTAAAGAAAAAAATCTTTCTCTTAAGGAGTAACATTATGACTGTTATTATGAGCTGTGGTACAGATGAGACATATGTTGTTTTATCTTTGTTTTCTGGAACTTTCACCATCCACAGCACAGAGATCACAACATCTAACAGCACATCCAGATGAAAGCAGCTCCCCATCTGACACACACACACACACAGACACAGACACACACACACACACACACAGACACAGAGAGAACATCTCTGAAGTCTGAAGTTGTAGTTGTATCTATAATCTGACTACACCCTGAGGTGGGACCTGCTTCTTAAAATGGAAATGGCAGGGCGCCGAGGGTGACCTTTCACAGCTCCGTGGAGACATCTACTCTTGAAGTTCAAATGTAACCCTCTGCAGCTGCTGCATGGGACGCAAGAATAATCTAAGGCTGGGGGGAAAACAACACTCACAGCGAGTCTGATCAAGTGTCAGCCAGCAACAAAGACCCTGCAGAAAGACAGACAGACAGACAGGCAGACAGACAGGCAGACAGACAGACAGACAGGCAGTCTGAGGGAAAAAAGCGTGATAATCTTTACCTACAAAGAAAAACACTGTGCTTTGTTCTACACTCACAACATGACAGATTCTCCAAAATAAGAACATCTGAGAGTTTGTTTCCAAAATTAGCTTTAAGAAGCTGCGCTGACATGAGCAGCAGCAGCAGCAGACTCAGGTGGTCTACAGGTTATCATGTCTTTAAAAGGAGGAAATGGCGAAAAGACGCCTCGCGTTTTAATTTCACTGATCCAGATCAGAGGCTCCAACGGCTCGTACTGCTGCTACAGAGAGAGAGAGAGAGAGAGGGAAAAAAGCGTGATAATCTTTACCTGGCTTTTGGAGATACTGCCGTCTTGGTGGCTGTAACCACAGCAAGGGTTTGAAAAGATGATCTCTTGAATTGGATTACGGAAGAGTCAGGCGTTGAAGGGGGAGGAAGAGGAGGATGTAGAGGAGGTGGATGATGATGATGATGATGATATCTCTGTAGGAGTGATGCCCATGTTGCTTATGTGTCCCTCCTGCGTCCGGGTGGAAACATTTGACCTGCTACTGTCGCCTGCAGCGCCGTAGTCCAGGCCCCGGTGTTACAGTGACACCAACTACCATCAGCAAAGCAAAAAAGAAAAACAAGGAAAACCCAGTGACTGCAGATAAATAAGCAGAGCCGGGTTTGCACAGCACACTGTCCAGTCTTGTCTTGCGTGGTTGTTTGTGCAACGGTTCAGCGGTTAAACAACGATCGCCCACGAAGGCGCGATGTTCCGCCGCCAGTGCGCGACACAGAGAACAGAGGCTGAGCACAGGAATCCAGGGGCGGTGTTGTGTTTACCTCCGCTCCGTCCCTGCTTCCGTGCTCTGTAGGAAATCAGCTGCTCTACGCTGGAGAGACGCCATTTGTCTGTGAGAGGCTTCCGTTCTGCTGCTCTCTGCTGACGCCTGGTGGACATAACAGTGCCTAACAGCTTTCTAAATCAATCTCTACTTCGTTCCGAACAGCTTCGACAATTCAAAAACAAATTACTTCCGTTATCGCCCTCAAGCGGTAACAAGGAAAAACGCAAGTTAAAAAAAATTTATATTTTTGGGACAGAATAAACAGATGGCGCTACATCAAAACCTGCTGTAACTTTAACAATTTTACACAGGTTTTCATTGAGTTTGGTTCATTGATTTTAACCTAAGTGATTTCCAAAATGTCCTTTTTAGCATTGAAGACCTGAAAAACCTGAAAAAAATAACACTGCCCATTCTGTGCTGTTATTGACTGAATTTCAATGTAAAAACAATACTATACAACACTACTCTTTAATTACACTTTACTCTTTGAATATTTCCCAAAATGAATTAACTAGTTTTCCTATAATCGTATATATTAACCAATAACCTTGTAAATCAACCAATGACATTCATTTTCCTGCAGTGTGCGTACATGACAAAATGTATCTCTACTGTGTAAGTGGATGCTTATTATTTTTTTATCTTATTAATTAAAAAAATATTATCATGTTTATGTCATTAATTTTGACAGCCTCAGTTTATATACACTATTACCACACACCTGCTGCAAACACAAACAAGTAGAGGGCAGCACGGCACACTTTGTATGAAGTGTAAAATATGGTCAAAGGTGTAGCAGTGAATACCAAACAGCACCAGTGGCAGGTGGCCCAATGAAGTGTGTGTTCATGTGCATCACGGTCTACGACTCCCTCCTGCCTTCTCTCACCGCAGCAGCAGCAGCAGCAGCAGCCGCAGCAGCAGCAGCCACAGCCCTCCGGC